CTGAATGCCATGTGAGAAAGAAGATACAGAGGTTCCCTCCTGAGTCAGGAGGTGGCCTGTGAGCACATTCAAGCTCTGCCACAAGAGGAAAGCCCATGAGCTTTATGCCAGTCAGCTTCCCAGATTCTCATTCGTGCTTACACTTCCAGCTCCAGCATAGCTCTCAGAAGCATGTGCAAGCAAACAAGCAAGTCACTGTACTACAAAAAGGCATGATTCTACTAAAGAGAGGAGGAACAGGAGCTCACCTACCTCTGAAGCACCCCTCAGCACTGCAGCACCCAGCCAGGGTTGCCTCCTCTGAAGCCACAGCCCTGCTGCAGGTGCTGCTCATCAGAGTACATTTAGATCAGATGGTGCCCAATTAAGAGCTGCTAACTCTGCTAGACCAAATGGGATCAGTCACACTAAAACTATTGGAACCTCAGATTACTTTACAGTGAAAGCAGGAGATGGGATTAGCATTTTAAGTCATTTTGGGATCTCCTCTCCGAACCACTGGTTTATACATAGCATCTGCACCTTATTTGCTTCATTGGCAGCGTTATTCCAAAGCACACCTCAGTCTCATTGGCTAACAATACATTGCTCTTAAAGGCACACCTCACTAATTTATTGTCGTAATTACATTACTGCTGTCATTTAACTTTGGCCTTCACCATTAGCTAAAAAGCAGTGCTTAGCAAAGATTTGCTCCTTCTGCATGCACAGACGCAATGCTCTCCCCCATCAGCACTGAAGTCCCTTGCATGGTTTGCTTGCTGCTTTCCTGCAGTGTGACATATGCCAAACGAGCTTCTGAGGCCTCAAGTTTTCTACCTTGCACAATTAGGAAAAGCAAATACTTCAACAAGTTCAAGACAACCCAGAGGAGCTGGCTGTGGAGATGGAGGTGCAGTGGAAGGGAATCAGCTTACCCTGCTGGCAGTGGCTGGCCCTATAGATAGAACCACCCCTACCCACAGGCCTCAGCCCAAGGTTGGCTTTTGGAAGCACTTGCAGCTGGTACAGAAGCCCTCTCCTAAACATAGGGCTCTTCAGCAAATTGTTTTTAAAAGAGAATTAGAAAGATTAATTTAGGAACAAAGGGACGTGTTTTAATTGCTGTTAGATACTTCAAGGCATCTTTCATGGGACTATTAATAAAGTGCCCCAAGGGAATGAAGAAACCAACACATCACATTCAAGACAAGGATTAATGACCCCATAAAATACTCCCTGGCATACCCTAAAGCTAAACTGAGAATATTTATAAATTAAAAATTAACATTTCCGAGCCTCCCACTGGCAGCCGCTGTATTGCCGAAGAGGACGGGAGTGACAGCTTTAAATCAACAGAGCCAAAGAAAGCCAAACGAGGGAAGCACTCCATCGCAGCGCCTGCAGGATTCTTCCTTTTCATCACTTCCAGCTCCTGATGAACGACGGGCGTGAGCTGGTAATACCAAGCTGGCAGCAAACTTGTTATTTCTGAGCTCGCTCGCAAGAGGCGGTGCAATAGATTGCCAATATTGATGTTATGTTGACAATCCTTTGACCTTGCAAAATTTCACAGGAGAAAAATGCTCCGAGGACGGACTGAGCTGCAGTTGCTTTCAATGACAGGGCGGTGACGATGGAAGGAGCAGCTCCCAGCCGGGTAGCAATCACCATTTCTCACTGCCTTCCAGACTGAGAAGTGGTGCTTGATAAGTAGCATTGTTTTTAAGTTTACCCAATCAAAACGTGTTTTGGTCTAAAACTCTCACGTCGAAATCTCACGTTGGCACACATTGTTTTGACAAGGAAAATCACATGTTTTTTGCTGAATTTGCTTCACTGGAAACAAGATTCATCAAAGTCCACGGGATGAAAACACAGGAGTCGAGGCTCAGTGGCAATCAGGGCTGGACAGAGAGCAGCTTTAGTTCACAGAGCATGTTGACAAAGTAAATATCAGCCCATGCTGATTTGCATCGCAGCAGTGGGAGCTATGGGCTGTGAGGCAGCAGTGATGTGCTTGTGGCCCCTTCTGCCCCTTCAGACAGATTGCTTTTCTCTTAGACTTCATTTCCTCAAGTAAGATTTCATGGGATTCCCATATTTGCCCACGAAGCCACGAAGCAAGCTGCTCCCCCATCTTTGAGCATTACCTGTCTGCTGGTGTCAGGCAGAGCTGCTGCTTCCTCCACAATGCCCAATTTCCCCCTTGCACACCAAGAAGAAAACATTGTTCTGCTCAAGTACAGCTGATTTAAAATAATATAATAGAAGTAACAACAGTCCAATGAATCCGAGAACTTAAAAAGTATAATATTCACATTAAAAATACAATCACTCACAGGAAAAAATAGCCCACACTGCGTAAATTCAAGCTGATACAACAGAAGCCAACATGAGTGAGACCTTGTGGATGTGCTCCTCGACCAAAAGCACTGCGGCAGCACCTCCAACAGCTGGGAGCAACAACACTTCATGTTATCCATGGGATGGGCACGTGAGTAGAACAAGCAGCCTCATCACAACACCCCCAAGGAGTGCTGGTGGCAATCTGCACAACACGCACACCCCAGCCCTGCTTCCACTCCTCTGCATCCCAACATGACACATTCATTTTGTGACTTGCTGCAGCACGAACAGGAAAAGCCCCTTTGGTTCCCCTCCAAGCTGACATGACTGCAGATGCAAATTATTGTCTGTTTACACTGCAACACCATCTGCAAAACCCCTTTGTGGTATAAATTATATGTTGAGCACAGAGCCTGGACTGTAGCTATCAAAACCCCATCAGGAGCGCAGCTTACGCCAGCAAACAATCCTGCACAGCTCCTGTTTCAAGACAAGTGTTGGCAGCAGGGATGGGCAGCAAAGTGAATAGATGCTGCCCAGATCGTGGGTTTGACTGCTCTGCGTTTTCACCTTCTGTGAAGGCTGTGCAGTGCTGGGAACTCCATTATTCCCCTTGAAAACCCCAAAAGATTTGCAGACAACTCTTCCTAGGAGCAGGACTGGATTCCAAACTTGACTGCACACCTGTACTGCAGGGAAGCAGCTTTGTGCTGGAAGCACCAGGCCTGGCCATGCTCTGCTTGAGGACAGGCAACAGCTCAGCAAAGCCATTCCCCATGTAAAACCACAGGGACAGCAGGCAGGCTGCCTTAAATTTCTGATAGTACCCAGCTGAGAGGCAGTGGAAACTGGCATGTATAGGAGATATATGTAATAACCAACAATGTGCAAGGCGGAAATATGTTGCAAAAGATAAATTTTAGTTTTGTTTCTTAAAAGGAAGGGTTGTTCTCACAGGATTTCCAAAGAAAGCCATCAGTTTTTTTCAAAAACAAAAGCCTGTGAAGTTACATAGCAAAGTGTTCCCTGCTTCTATCTCTGCTGCAGCAGCTGAAATGTCTGCACACAGGTTGGAAATGACAAACTTGGCATTGAGTTTGCAGGGGATCCTGAGCTTCTCATGGCTCGTGTTCAGAGCTGTGGGTGAGCAGGAGGTGCCAGGTGCCACAGCCCATTTCTTTTGTACTTTTTCCTCAAAACCAATCACGGAAAAACACAATGGTGAATAGGATACATAAATCTATCATAAAATCGAGCCTCCGACTCTTTGCCCGAAAACCAAGCCTGTGAATTTTCCTCTTCCAGGGCTTATGAAGGAGAAGAAAGTGCAGGGTAAAAACTTGAGGAGCCACTTCCCATGAAATTGCCTTAACTGCCCATGTCTGTTAAGCTTCTAAGTTGCTTAGACCTCTAAATCAGAGAATATTCACAATCCTGACTCTGCCACTGCTGTGCAATTTGGCACGAGTGCGGCTGACTGGATGGCATCCCAGTGAAGAGGCTCCCACAAGCAGTTGGATAATTTATGAAATCTTCCTACTGCAAGCACCGGTCACTAAGCCTGTTATTGCACAGCACACAGGTGAATTATGACTGTGGTGCAGGGAAGGATTTTCAGATTTCAGTGTCTTCCCCATTCTGCTCTCTGGGATTGCTCCATTGTAAATTTTGCTAAAAGGACTTGAGCATTTGCCAAGGTACATATTTTATAATATCACCTACTCACTGCTAAATTATGTGCAGCAGTTAGGAAACATCTACTGTACCATATGTTATTGGGATGAAAACAAACACACACTCACAGATAACTCGAAAACAAATTTTATGGAAAGAAATACAGTTTTGTAGAATCATAGAATGGTGTAGGTTGGAGGGGGCTGTAAAGATCATCTGGTTCCAAGCCCCCACCATCGGCAGGGAGATGCCAACCACCAGCTCAGGCTGCCCAAATTTAACCCCAAGGAGAAAATTTAAGTGTTTAACCGAATTTAATCCAAGTTTAACTACTAAACTCCAAGGAGAAAACGAGGCTTTTTTTCCTGCAGTTGCCTCAAGTGCTGCAGAAGCCTCTGTGGTCTCGGGCCCATTGGTTTCCCACCCAGCACTCGCACTGAGGTTGGGCAGTCCCACAGACCCCTGCCCCAGCCCTGGGTGCTGTGCAGCCCCCCAGGGTCAGGAGGAGGCTGCTCCAGAAGCGCCTGCATCAGCTAAGTGCAGCTTCTCTAGAGAGTTTCATCATTTGTTCAGGGCCCTGAAGCCACGTGCTCTGTTGATAAGCTCTGAGCTGACCTTAATCTGGGAAGGTCAAACAAATGACAGAAAATTACACATATCCTCAGCTGACTTAATAATCCAATTCTGCAGAAGGTCACGGCACATATTTTGTTATTCATGACCTTGAGGTTCTAATTCTTAAGTGATAATGAGATGTAACCTACACGTTTTACAGCTGAGTGTCTGGTAATGGAGAGTGATTCTTTTCACCTCGGGAAGCTTTACTCTAATTTAATACATAACAACCAGAAAATGATCTTGGATTTCACACCTTTTTGGTGCTATCATATTCTGTCACAGCAGAGCATACTCCCCATTACGTATCTCTTCTTACTTCTTCAAAAGACACCTTATGAAGGAAGAAGAACTGAGAAGCAAAGCTGTTCCTTAGTGGGAAGGTGGACAGGGAAAACAAAGCTGCTGGATAGATTCAGTGTACCTGTTCAATAGGAAGATCTCACTGCTTCTAAAGGAGGCAGAAAGCGGCGTGTTTGTGAGTGTACGAGCTTTGCCAACTCCAAATCAATGGAACAAGTGCAGCTTCTTACTTCTTTTGAATTCTAAGTAATGATAATGAAAACGACACAATCAGTTAAATCAGGAGGCAGAAGAAACAAAAGCACACTGAGCAATGCCCACACCGACCCAAAAAGTCCTCAGTAAATCCCAGAGCCAGTTGTCCATAGCCAATGGACAGTCCTCCTTCCTGGGGTGGAGGATTCATCCTCTTGGTCTCTGACATGATTATTACTAAGCAAGAGCCTGGCAAAAGCTCCCCCAGCAGTGGGGCTGCTCAGCACCACCCCAACCCCCCTGTCCTCAGTGGGCCACTGAGCATTGATGAAACAGTGCTACTCTTTGATATCGTGCGCAGCAAACAACTCTTGTTAAACTCACGTTTACCTACAATCCTGTTTCCACAGCACTGTTTTAACTGTTGTCATTATCTCCCCAGAAGAAGACAGAGAAGCGGACATCTGCTCTGCCACCCACTGCTGCCCGATGGAATGCCAGTGAGGTTTGACAGAGCTTCCAGCCCAACAGCTCCTTCTCTGCTCCCGTCTCTCCCCTCTGCTCCTCCCAGTTCTCGGGCAGCAGGGCTCTGGGTTGCCAGCAGTGCTTTCGCTGAGAGACCCTTGGCTGTGCCTCCTGCTTCTGCAAGGGCTCATCGCCACTGTTTTGCCACTGCGTTCCAAATTCCATGTCTCTTCTCATTATGAGGCCTGATGATCTGTGAAACCATAAACCATCCACCCAGCAGCAGTGGTGGTTTTAAAGCCCAAGCTACTGCCAAGTTTTCCAGCTCCACAGCAAAATGTCACTCCTCTCATCTGCTCAGCTTCCAGCTGCCAAAAGCAATGGTTTGCATCTGTCAGTGCCATCTTGTTTCCCTAAATTCAAGCCTGTCGCCATTTGGAAGCATCATAATCAACAATAAATGGTCTGTGGGAGGCTGCCGTTCAAAACACACTCCAGTTAATCTTCATTTCAAGTTGTGGGCTGCAGATTTCTAACTGCCTTCTCAGAAGAAAATTGTCCTTGGAGCAGAAAGGCCATGAGATGTGTGAGGAATGCCTGCGGCCAAAGCCTTGCAGATGTTGTGGGTATTTCAATATGGCATCCTTTACTCTGGCCATCATAAATCGGTTGCATTTATTACAAAAGTGAGAAGGTTTGGGCACTGTCCAGAGATGCCATCTTGATAGTGCCTTGTTTTCTGACAAGCTCCTCAGTCATCCTAAGTGTTTTGCTCCAGTCCAGACAAAAACTGATTGTGTGTGGCCTTTGTTCAACTGAAAATATTACAGTAATTTTATTTAAAGTAAGATGTATAAACAAACCTCCCACAGAAATATGAAATTACATTCCTCTCTCTGTGGATTTGATGAAACAGATAAGCAGAGATGATTTCAATCAAGCATTTAGAAAGTTTCCCTCACAAAACACACATTTCTATAAACACATCTTCTAATTTTGATTAGAAGGTCTCTGGGATACACTTTACAGTGGTTTCCAGTTCCTGATGGGGGCCTAGAGGGAAGCTGGAGAGGGACTCTTTATCGGAGCACAGAGATAGGACAAGTTTTTAACTAAAAGAGGGAAGATTTAGGTTAGATGTTAGGAGAAAATGTTTCACTCAAAGGGCAGGGAGGCCGTGGAGCAGGCTGACCAGTGAAGCTGTAGGTCTTCCATCCTGGAGGTGCACAAGGCCAGGCTGGATGGGGCTTTGGACAACCTGGTCTTGTGGGAGGCGTCCCTGCCCAAGGCAGAGGGTTGGGACTGGTGGGCTTTAAGGTCCCTTCCAACCCGAGCTGTGCTATGGTTCTATGATTCTAATGCTCAGTGCCAAGCACTCGAAATGGCAACCACCCACCTCCCACGGGAAAGGCAAGCAAGCAGGTTGCAGTTCTTGGTGACTTCGTACCAAGCAACACAGCCAGAGGTTGCACTAACCCAAGCCAGGCTAAAGTACATGTCTCTATTTAAAATTCAATAACAGCTTATCCATCTATCTTGTTTTTTATTGTAAACAGAAGAGATTATTTTCTTCTCTTTCCTGCTAAGGACTTTTAGTATTCTCAAGGATCTCCACAAAATGTGACTCAAGCACAAGGCAGAGCTCTGGGCAAGGCATAGCAACCGTATCTGGAAGCCTGGCTGTGTAGAGGCACACGTTGGGTCAGATGGATTGGAGCAAAAGGTCTCTGAGCTCCAGCAGGAGATGGAGGTGAGAGGGGCCAGGCAGACACACGGCAGCAATATCTGGCTGTGCCTGCAGAGCCACACTCCCCAGCAATCACATGGATGGCAGACTCCTACTGCAGAAGTGCCCTTCGGCAACCAAAGAGCTATTAGCTTTGATTATTCTTCCATTAGTCGGCCATTCTCTACAGAAACAATCTCCATCTGGGAATGCATTGAACACAAACTGTTTCTCAGCCTATGAAGTAACTGCAAAACCAGCTTACCCAGTCTGGCTGTTTGAAAAGGTGCCTATCCTGGGCAGAGCTGGCCGAAGGATGCTCAGCAGGGTGCTGCCCTGCGTGGAACATCTCCTTTTCCAGCCACTCTCAGCACAGGGAACTACAGAGACATGATCCAGGAGGACAGGGAGCAGAGGGATGAGACATGGTTGTGTCTGCTGGGATTGTCCCACCTGCAAAATTAAAATGCATTTGCACTTTTGTAGATGTATTTTAAATTGTCAATAATTATGCCATTACTAGTAATATAGTAATATAGTTACTGCAGAGAACCTGGCAAATCTACCCCTCAGGTAATGCTCTGATGGGAGGCTGGTGCAGACATAGAAAACTGTTGCTCCCAAATATTCTTTCTAATGTGATAGAAGGAACTGAAGGGAAAATCTGAGAGTCTTCATTTTTGAACAAACTTGAAATGAAATTGCTTAGAAAATATTCATACCATTTTTTTCTTATGGAGGAAAATATGTATTTATTACTGCAAGAAGGGTTATACTGGATCTAACCACAAATCCTGTCCACCAACAACTGTCACTTTACAGGCCAAAAAGCAGATGGCCAGGGCAATGAATACCCTGTCATCCCTACAGGATATTGCTCTGATAAAAAGCAAAATAGACCCAAATTTTGTTACCTTATTCCTACCCTTTGATATTTTTTCTACTTAAGACTTCTAGGTGGAAGCAGTGGCTGGAATACCAGGCATATTGCTTTGGGGAATATGAAGCACGTTGGATGCAAACAGGTAACACATTCCTCAGATGGGATCCGAGTTCCTGAAGAATTCCTGTATGTTTCAGACTTTGAAATTAGAATTTAGAGTGCTTTCAAGTTTCCACACAGAGCTATGTCCTCATTTCAGATGTACTACAGTCAATGGAAATGCTCCCATTAACTTCAATGAGTTTTGAAGTGAGCCCACACTGTATACTAAAGACATATTATACACTTGGTAACAGAAACTTACACAGAAGACAAGATGGGAAATCTGATCAAAGATGAAAGAAAAAAAAAGAAAGGAGAAAAAGGCAATGTAAGAAAGATAAAGTATTTTTCTGAAGCTTCTCATATGCTAACAAACATTTCAGAAAGGCAGAAAAATTCTGGAGGAGATGTGCATTAGAAAAACAGCAATTTAAAAATGTTAAGCATTATATGCCTGACGATTATGCAGTATGAGAACATCCCTGTTAACGCTGTCACTGGTTTTGTCTATTAAATCTAGAGATAATCATTCTTTTGTATGCAAAATGGCCCTACCATCAGCTTGGGAGAAGAGAACACACTTCGATTCGCTCGCTTATTTCTCCCATGGAATGTAATGTTGGAAAGATTTGATTCCAGATATGAGAGAGAAAATCATCGCCACCCACCAGCTGGGTGCTCAGAGCAGCACTGCTGTGCTGGCCCACCCTCCTGCCTCACCTCTGCTGTGTGCTGCCCAACCACGTTCAGGCTGGGCAGCTTGCTCTGCTGGTTGTTGACCCTGCACGTAGCAGGGAAATTGAAACTAGGTGATCATCGTGGTCCTTTTCAACCCGGCCATTCTATGGTTCTATGAACTCAAACCCAGCTGCTCCCCTGCACCAATGTCTCCATGTGCTCAGCAGCACCCTTGTACCAAGGGACACCCACACATTCAATGGCAGCTAAGCACCAACAGCTCCCACATAGTGGCACCAGATGGCTGGCAGCACTCAGACTCCTGCAGAGCCCTCACAAAGAATCCAGCTTTGGCCTTAACCAAAGCCTCGTCCAGGTTTTGACAAACAGGATCAAGTTGCTGGCTGACATTTGCCGTTTCGACATTTGGCACTGATCTATTTTCATTACTGCGATGGCTTGCTTGAAAGTTATTAATGGCTGGAGGAAGACCAATTTTCTTCAGATTTTACGATGACACATCTGCACTTGCCAGTCCGACACACTAAATATTTATGAAGTATGTCATTTTTCAAACCCGCAGCCTAAGTCCCAGCTCACTCTAATCTGCAATGAAATTAAAAATCTGCACATTTTACTGCCACAGTATTGCTAGCTATTGTAATTTCGACTTGTGTTAGCAAATCTGCACCTACTTCAACCATTAACGTACAAAAACTGCAAATGTCAGCTGCCCCACATGACTCTGTAGGTATTAGCACAGCTTGACTGCTCTTGAGTGCTGCTGCATCCTTCTCTGTGTGTGCTTCTCAGTGTTTGCCAGAAAGGACACACTTCTGGAGAGGTGTGGGAAGGGCGCAGCCACATGGAATAGACTTTGCCTTAAAGCTGGCGAGAAATTTTCTAAAGGTGCCACACACAAATGATCCTCAGTGCTGCCACGGGCATCAAGCCAAACTGTTGGTACTTTTGCAGCCCTGGGATGCCTGGGAAGCACTTTCTGCTGTGAAATCTGTATCTTCCCACCAAATCCAGCCGAGTTATTTAGAATCACAGAATCATTCAGGCTGGAAAAGACCTCTGAGAGCCCCAGACCCAGCCCAGCCTTTCTATGCCTCCAAGTCTTTCAGTGCCACATCTCTTCGGTTCTTGGGCACCTCAAGGGGGCAAAGGGACCCCACAAATGCTTTGCAGCCTGTCTGCTGCTCCCCCATAGCATCCTGAGCACAGGGGCTGCCCTGCCCTGCGCAGTGCTTCCACTGCAAACACAGAACGGGCATGGGAGAGGCAGAGTGACCTGGAGATGGCCACAGAAATGGGCAAACAATCAAATCAGCGTTCACCTCTTCGTCCACTCTGGCTGAATGAAACCTTTCCCTGGCACAGGGCTGGCTCAGCTGCTGCTGGCAGGTGTTGAAGTCACTGCAGTTCTGGGCTCTCGGAGCTCAAAAGCACTTTATCAGATTTTGCCACATGGTATGTAATTATTACCACAGAGTGTAATTACGCCCCGCTGGTGTCATGCTGGTCAGAAAGCTCAAACACTGCGGGTCAGCACTTCATATGGCCACCCTACAATGCCAAGGACATGGAAGTTGCAGGGGGGACTTACTATGGGATGTATGTGTGTGGAGGAGAACACAGCCTGCCAACAAGCGAGCTGGGCAGTGCTTCCACAGTGCTGTCCTGCCACGTGTTTTCTGCACCCAGTACGTCCATTTGCAGCTCAAAGTCTTTCTGTGACAGAATTCCCCTTACTGCAATAGTTTATACCTTTTAAGAGGTGAAAAGAGCATCCCAACCAAACCTTTATGTCATTCGCTCCAACTTTCTCACTATCCTTATTCAAAAAATACAGTAATCTCCTAACATACTGCCTACTTACCTGTTTATATTCTTTCCATTTATTATTCACATCATCTCCCTCTGTTCTCGTTTACTTCTCTTTCTTCTTAGAGCTTATACTTGCTTCCACTGCATTCCACCATGAGCAGTATATTTAATCTTTTCCTGCAACAAGGCAAGAGGAAAACACCCCACTTTGCAGCTCCCCATTTCCCATCAGTGCTCCATTCCTGGTGGCCTTACTGCTGGGAGCTGCTGCTGGGAGACCCTGGGACCAAACCTTGGTTCCCCTTTTCTCCACAACAGCAGCAGGGCTTTTCCTTTCCATGCACAATGAGCTGCCTTTGGAGAAGAAATGCCATTTTTCAGGCCCTGGTTTCTTCCTGTTGCTAGGATGGTAGGCACCATGGGCACCATGAGCAGTCTGTCTTCATTTTAGGCTGCTGAGCATCAGGCTCATGCCTGCCCTTGAACACCAGGCTCAGCGCTGAGCCCACAGTTTCCTCCCTAAGCAGGAATACTTCCAACTCTTTCCATGTGCCCAGTGTCATCCAAAGAAACAGATATGCCCCCTTCCCCCGGCGCTGTGATATACCTTTCCAGGCTATCTGCTATTAGCATGTCTTCAGACTCAAAGAACCTGCTGAAACCAGACCTGCAGGATTTTACTTTGCTGGTGTGTGCCAATATACATTGCCCTTAAATATTTATAGGATCTCAATGTCATATATCTCTCCAGTGTGGCACTGTTGGAGTGTCTCATCACGGTGCAGCCTCAAAACATCACATTTGTTTGCAGAAAAAGTTACCATCAGCATTTAAAGATATGATCCCCTCTTCATAGGTGTAAAATGTGTGCACAGAAAAATGAGGTTATTCGCCTGGAGTCACACAGCAAGTCACAACCTGCAAATGGAATTGCTGAATCCTGACCCAAACTGCCCACCTGCCTTCTCACATCACTGCAAGGGATCGCCTACAGCAATACAGGAATGGAGTGAAACACAGGGATCTCTCTCACATTCATTACAAATACAATCAGATTTTGAAGCCCCTTTGCAGCCATTCATCCAACAGAAGGGACACACCGGTGCCCGCGTTCCACACATTGTGTTTGTCATTCTGAATGGCAGAGCGTTACCTTTAAATGTGATAATTAACGTGCTGATGGTGTTTAGCTTTCTGCTGTAAGAGGGCTGAGCCGGCAGCCTGCTGTCCACCACTGGCAGAACAACACCCAGAGAGTTTAGTGGTCCACAGCCCACAGCCCCAGCGCAGCTCCAGGAGGGGTGGCTTCATGTTTGCCCCATTGCAGAGTGCAGGGAGGGGGAGAAACGAGAAGGAAGAGCTGCTGAGAAACCACTGCAGCTCTCTGGCACTGCTGGGTATTGCAATGGTTGTGTGACACCCATGTCACTTGGCTATGGCGCAACAGTGATCAACAGCCACCGAGTCCCAGCCCTGCAGCTCTGCTGCACTGCCACTGGGACTTCCCCATCCCCATCCCCATCCTCATCCCCATCCCCATCCTCATCCCCATCCCCATTCACAGCCCCGCTCTGCGAGGGCAGAGCTGGCTTCAGACACAACAAACGTTGTTTAATAATTCAAACCCACGCCCTAAGAATCCTCCTGCCTCTTCTTCACATGCAGCATGCATTAATGGCAATTTAATCTAGGGCCTCATTCATAAATTAGATGAACTGTGGGAGGCTCAGCACAATGTGTGCCTTCCTACCGAGGAGGACGAAGCCATTCGCTGTGCCATCAGCTCAGAGGAAGGAAGTACTGACCTGCCTGATCAAACACTGCCAGTGCTACAGGCTCCACAATGCACCACTGCAGCACAGAACTTCAGCAAAGGGGCAGCCCAGGGGGGATTTACAGTAAATTTATCTCATTCACCTTTGCTTTGAATCAACCACCTTCCCTTTCATTTATGACAAGGAAATTAATGGAAAGGTAATTTCTTAGGACTGCACTCCCTCACCTCACGTTACTTTGTGCTTGAAGACTTAATCAGGAGCAGCATTGGGCAGGCAGCAGCAGGCAGTCCTGATTGAGCTGCGTCCCTGTGTGCACTGCATCCTGCTTCTCATGGTGCTCAGTGCGTCCTGCAGCCTGCTGACATGGCATGGAAAAGCACAGCATAGCATGCCCAGCCTCCAGAACATGGCTCAGCACAGCTCCACACTTGCTGCACACCAGCACACCCAGCTCTTTCCAGAATCATAAGATCACAGAATGGGTTGAGTTGGAAGGGACCTTTAAAGGCACTCTGATCCAAGTGCTCACAACGCACAGGGATACCCACAGCTCCATCAGTGCTCAGAGCCCATCCCCTCACCTTGGCAGGGATGGGGCATGGTACTTCCATGTCCAATGCACCTTCACGATGTGATGCTTTAGGATCTGAATATACTGAAAGTAAAAACTGTCTGAAAAACTTGAGCTACTGAAGAGCTCTAATTGAAGTGCAGAAAAGGCTTAGCTGACCATCTGTATCTATACATGCAAGGAATCTTTGGGACTATCTATCATTTTTACATGAGTGCTTGCACATGAAAGTGATGGATTTCCCAGCCTATTCAACTCTCAGCTTAAGAACACTGTCGTATTTCATGACATTGTTTTAACCTACCTTTGCTTCTGTGTGGCCCAAAAAAACCCCGAGGCAACAAAAAAGCAACATCTACATTTGCTTTAGTGGGTAAATAGCAGCCCTGTCCACAGCACGATTGATCTTTAAGGTCCCTTCCAAACCAACTATTCTATGATTCTATGAACTCTTGGCTGAAATCAATGAGTGCTCACCATAAGAAGCAATCCCTGGGCTCACCAGTGATGCTTTGGGGCACCTGGCCCTTGTGCAAATACCCCTAATCACGGCCCCACTGCAACCCACCTCAGAGCTTCCCCATCTCTCCCACTGCAGGGTGCTCAGGAGGAGCCTGACATGCAGCCCTGGCTGAGTGCCACTCCTTGCCCAAGGGCACTGCACCATGCCCACGGGCAGCACCTCTTTCCTTCCCATTTCCAGTCTCAGGAAATGGTGTTCCCAGGCACGCTGGAGAAATGGTTGCCCTGTCTTGATGTCTCCCACCAGCTGTTGGACAAACAACTGCTGCCAGTCCACTGAAATGAATG